GAGAGGGCTCTACTAACTGAGGTACTGAGGCAGCTCGGCTGGCTGAACTGAATCACTCATATACAGGGCAAGGCAGAGCACTCTGGCTGGGCTAAATCACTTATACAGATATTGCAAGGTCCATACGACGACCACCTGAAATGGCCGTTCAGAGGAAGGATAACGGCATACCTACCAACCATCCAGCTTTTTGCTTGATAATCAAGCAAAAATACTGCCTATCCCTCCAAAAAATCGCCAAATCCCTCTTTTTTGTGCTAACCTGTGATGCATCATGCCTATACATTTTGAATGGACACACAGCATTTTCAAGCAAAAATACTCCAAATCAAGCAAATTTGACACATTTCTCAAGCAAAGGTTCATCTGCAGGTTGGTAGGTATGTCAACGGTCCAGAGTCAACCAGGCTGGAGACCACAGCTACGTCAAGAAGACAATCTCATACGATGAGGAGACACCAGATACCTGTACCGGTAGAGCGACTAAGAAGAGTGCTACGGGACGGGGGTTTTCTGAATTCCTAGCGCTCACTGCCCTTGAATACGCCACAACCAATACTTGAAAGACGGGTATCGTCATAGTCAGAGTTGATAATAATCACCCAATGAGTTAATTAAAATGTTATATAGGCTTTTCTCTGCATAGATGACTATAATTGCATATACTATTAGGCTGTATTGTTTATTATTGGCGAACGGGAGCGAGCCAACCTAGTCGTTCGTTCGATCGAGCGGATTTTTCAGTGACCGACAGGGCGGCAACGCGCGACGACGGGCGACATTTATACGCATGCGCAACTCGTAATGGAGGGCGGTGCAGAGCCCCTTTTTGTGTAGGACAGACTGGACTAGACTACAGACTGTTGTGAAATGGCTGTTCAACCACCACGACGCAAGCCTGTCGGGGGGTATGACTGCGAATTCGTGACTCCGCCACCCGACGCTATTCAAACAGAGTGTCCGATTTGTCTGCAAATCCCGAAGGAGCCGTGCCTCATCAGTTGTCCCTGCGGAAAGGAGTTTTGCCGCGAATGCATCGAGCGAATAAAGGAAGACAACAAGCCGTGTCCGCTGTGTAACCTGTCTGATTTCACGTTCTTACGTCACCACGGGTCAGAAAGATATCTGAAGGCCCAGGAGGTGTGGTGCTCACACAAGAAGGACGGCTGTAAATGGAGGGGGAAACTTGGAGAATACGAACAGCACCTGAATGAAGATCCGTCTCCAGAGAACCAGCTGACTGGGTGTCAGTTTGTGGAGATAGAGTGCGAGCATGGGTGTGGGGGGTGGTTCCAGCGTCGCCACATCGCTTCCCACCAAAAGGGGGCGTGTCCCAAGCGACCTTACGCCTGTAAATACTGCAACGAACATGAATCCAATTTTGAAGATGTTACAAAAAATCATTATCCTCAGTGTGCCAAGTATCCTGTTACCTGCACTAACAAATGTCGAGACGCTCCCTTTGAAAGACAAAATGTGAATAACCACGTGAAAGACGAATGTCCCCTCACGGAAATCGACTGCCCACTCCACTACGCCGGTTGTGAGGTGAGACTGCCTCGCAAAGACATGCCTGAGCACATGACAGACACTGTCACACATCTAACACTGCTGGCTACCGTTACACAGAGCCTCCTGAAAGAGAATCAGGAACTGCGACAGACTACTGAGGACCTAAAGAAAGAACTGCGACAGACAACTGGGGACCTCAAGAAAGAGAATCAGAAGCAACAAAAGCAAAACGAAGACAAACAAAAAGCTACACAGAAAGAAGTTGAAATTCTCAGACACCAAATGAAGCTCATGGTGGGAGGATTCCCTATTGATTTCCACGTCAAGTATGACAAAGACAAGGAAAAAATTTATTCACCTTCCTTTTACACCCACTCATCTGGCTACCAAATGCGCATTATCTTTTATCCGAATGGGAGTGAAAAGGTTGAAGGAACTCATGTATCATTAGGCACACAGCTAATGCAAGGTCCATATGACGAGAACCTCAAATGGCCGTTCAGAGGAGAGATAACGGTCCAGATAGTCAACCAGGCTGGAGACCACAGCCACGTCGAGTGGACCATCCCATACAATGATAAGACACTAGATATCTATGCTGGTAGAGTGACTGACAAGGAGAGTGCTAAAGGATGGGGGTTTGCTGAATTCCTAGCTCTCACTGATCTGGAGTACGATACCACAAAGAAAACCCAATACTTGAAAGACTGCATCATCATAGTCAGAGTTGTTAAAGTTATAATCACCCAATGAGTTTTTTAATTTTAGTCTTTTCTCTGCATTGATGACTATATATATACATGTATTATATAATTGCGCATACTATTGTGCTGTATAATTATATTGTTTATTATAATAATAGCACCATTATGGTTAGCTTATGGATCAATGGGTGCACTGCGAATATCAAAAGCGCTATTATTATTGTTCAACTTCCATTAATTCTTACAAAAATACCACACTCAGTTAAAACTCTTAATTACTGCATGATGTGATAGTAAAGCACAGGGAAGTTAAGAGTCACATGATGGTCACATGACATGATGTAATGGTCACATGACCAGAGGTCACTGCTGCTCTTCATCCTCATCATCTCCAATCTCACTAGGAGGTCGTGACGGAGGCTCACTCAGGGGGCGAGGATATCGGAACCCCTGGGAATTAATAATGATGTCATCATTACATCATCATTTACACAATCAAGATGACATCATCAACAATGTGTCCTGATTGGTGAGGTGTCCTTATTTCAGGAGTGTCCTTAGAGAGGAGCTCTATTGAAGGCAATTATAAAACCATTACATCATAGTCTTACAGGAGTGGAAGAAGTGGGCGTGGCACTTCCGGAGCCACGCCTCTTACTGCTGTAGTACTCTGGGTGAGTGGTCTCCAGGGCACGGCGTCTGGCTGTGCGATAGTACTGAGGAAGAGAGGAAGGGGGAGAGGGGGAGAAGAGAAGCAAACGATAAATTTTACTATTATAGAAAGGAGAAACTTTTCTAGCGGACGAATGTGAGTGTCAAATCTCAGAGCCTACGTACGTTTACTGTACACATTTTATTGGTTGTGTAGTGAGCACAATGTGGTGGTAACTGGCTTTGTATTATAAACAAACAGGTGGACTCGCTTCACTCGCCAATAAAATGCACGTCATGATTATTCTATTAGAGGAATGCAACGCATTGTTGGCGAGTGAGCGTGAGCAGTTGAAAATATTGCGCGTGTGTATTTGCGCGTATTTAGAATCACGTAGAACGTTACGGTATGTGCAGTTCCCGACCGATAGTTATAAACGTAAGGAAATTCCCGTATTGAAACGACTAGGTAGGCTCGCTTTCCTCGGGGGAGAAGAAACACAGACCTGTCCCAGAGTTTGCCAGTCTAGTAGGTCACTGAGTCGCTCAGTTCTGTTCCTCTGAATGATCCTCTGACGTCGTGTCTGGCTACAGAACTCAAACATGTACTGGAGATGGGGGGGGGGAGGGGAGGGAGAGGAGGATGTGGAGGAGAAAGGGAGAGAGAGCAGGAGAACGGAGATTGGGAAAAGGGGGAAAAACCGTGCAGTCTTTCATTTCATTTTCATAATATAATAGTTGGTTAGGTGGTTGGAAGGGGGAGAATGCATTACCTAATGTGCCACGCGTAAAGGGTTAATTAAAATTGGATTCCATACTCCAATTATAGTCAAAGTAATAGGCATGGTTAGTTTGTCTTTTCGTACTCCCACGTGCCCACAAAAAATGCAAAATCGTTAAAACCCTTATTGGCGGAATTTGACCACACCCATCCACAATCCAACGTACTAGTTGAGGGCATTCAAGTAAGGGTGGATTCCATACTCCAACTATAGTCAAAGTAATAGGGACGGTTGGTTTGTCTTCTCTTACTCCCACGTGCCCACAAAAAATGCAAAATCGTTAACACCCCTTATTGGCGCAATTTTACCGCACCCTGAATGCACCATCTACAATCCAGCTTTACAATCTTTCTCTCAAACAAAGCATTTCTCTTACGTTTGCCAGCTGTTGGATGGACTCGTCTGCGCTCTTGAACCGTCGGTCCACGATGTATATGCCGTACGTGGCGGGATCGGCGACGTGCTGTGCAATGAAACAGCCGAACCCAGAGAGATTGGTGGTGACAGACGGTATACCCATCACAGTACACTCCGCTGTGTGAGAGAGAGAGAGAGAGAGAGAGAGAGAGAAATTGGGTTTTGTTTCATATGAAAGGGGCTTTGTAATAGTGTTCTAGAGAGGGCTCTACCAACTGAGCTACTGAGGCAGCTCAGCTGGCTGGGCTGAATCACTCATACAGAGCAAGGCAGAGCACTCTGTGTTCTAGAGAGGGCTCTACCAACTGAGCTACTGAGGCAGCTCAGCTGGCTGGGCTGAATCACTCATACAGAGCAAGGCAGAGCACTCTGTGTTCTAGAGAGGGCTCTACCAACTGAGCTACTGAGGCAGCTCAGCTGGCTGGGCTGAATCACTCATACAGAGCAAGGCAGAGCACTCTGTGTTCTAGAGAGGGCTCTACCAACTGAGCTACTGAGGCAGCTCAGCTGGCTGGGCCGAATCACTCATACAGAGCAAGGCAGAGCACTCTGTGTTCTAGAGAGGGCTCCACCAACTGAGGCAAGCCACTCTGTACCAGGAGTATATCCCCACGGTTCGTAGTAAGACGGGAAGACGCCAAGATGGCAGCCGCGAACAAATTCTTCGTAGTCCATCTTGAAGAGGGGATTTGTGGCAGAGAGGAACTCTGGATGGAAGATTATCTGTAAGAGAGAAGAGAGAAAGAGAGAAGAAAACAGAATGAGAAAAGATCTTTTAATATTATTATAAGGAATAAGCAATTGTGGGGCAGATAATCATAATGCACCTTAACCCTCTCCACACACCAAATTTAACCCTCTTCACACACCCTCACTAAACACCAAAACACAACCACACTAAACATTTTAACCCCTTTCACACAACACTTTAACCCTCTTCCCACACACCGCACTTAATAACTTTAACCCTCTATGCACACACCGCGTACCTTAACCCTATCCTCCCTGCGATTGAAGAGCTGTATTCTCCTAATGTTGCACAGCACGGGGTCGCAATGATCATCAATAACATTATGGGTACAGATCGGAGGCAATCCCCCTTTCTGAGCAGCAAAGATACACCTACAAAACAATTACCAGAGGTCACTGCTGCTCGTCACCCTCATCATCTCCAATCTCACTAGGAGGTCGCGATGGAGGCTCACTCAGGGGACGAGGATATCGGAACCCCTGGGAATCAATAATGATGTCATCATTAACACAATCAAGATGACATCATCAATAATGTGTCCTGATTGGTGAGGTGTCCTTAGAGAGGAGCTCTATCCAAGACAATTATGAAACCATTACATCACAGTCTTACAGGAATGGAAGAAGTGGGCGTGGCACTTCCGGAGCCACACCTCTTACTGCTGTAGTATATACTATGGATGAGTAGTCTCGAGGGCTTTGCATCTGGCTGTGAGGGGGAGAGGGGGAGAAGAGAAGCAAACGAGAAAGTTCACTATTATGGAGAAATGTGCATTACATAATGGCTATTAAATTTAGATATGTTACTAAAGACAGAACTAAGCGGTAGGGCCTAGTGTGCAAGATTGCAACAGTTTCTAAATTTAGACCTTATATTTTACTGCCACAATTGAACCCCTCTAATCCAGACACAAAAAAAAGTGGTGAGATGTCCTATTTCATTACAAAAGGTTTTTGTTTTTGTCCTAATACTATATACCTCGTATCTCAGATTGGTCGTACAGTTCAGGGTTTGTTAGTGGGGAAATGATGTCCACCCACCTCCCTCCTCCTGGACCGACCTCTCAGATCCTCATGTGTGGACCTCCACCCATGATCAAGTTTGCCTGTCTCCCCAACCTAGAGAAACTGGGCTTTAGTGAAGACATGTATGTCCCCTTCTAAGACCAAGGGTTTTGGTATACAATATGCACTTCTTCTGTGCAGCTCCCGTGCGTGTTGAACGATCTTGTTGCGTTTGCGCAGAACCGCTCTTGTTGCGTTTGCGCATGCGTAGAGGACTGGGAGCAGGCCGTTTCCGTGGGAGGATCTCCCCTGGGAGCCTGGGTGGTATGCGAGGGGCTAGCTTCCTTATAGTGCCCCGCCCTGGGCTCCCGACGAACTCTCATGGCTGCCATAGCCGAAAGCGTGAAGGGCCAAAACCGCGGCGGATACGACTGTGAGTTCGTTACGCCACCGCCCGATGTGATTCAGATCGAGTGTCCGATTTGCCTGCAAATCCCGAAACAGCCGTGCCTCATCAGTTGTCCCTGCGGAAAGGAGTTTTGCCGCGAATGCATCGAGCGAATAAAGGAAGACGACAAGCCGTGTCCGCTGTGTAACCTGTCTGATTTTACGTTCTTACGTCACCACGGGTCAGAAAGATATCTCAAAGCACAAGAGGTGTGGTGCTCACACAAGAAGGACGGCTGTAAATGGAGGGGGAAACTTGGAGAATACGAACAGCACCTGAATAGCAATCCGTCTCAAGAGAACCAGCTGACTGGGTGTCAGTTTGTGGAGATAGAGTGTGGGAATGGGTGTGGGGAGTGGTTCCAGCGTCGCAATATCGCTTCCCACCAAAAGGGTGTGTGTCCCAAGCGACCTTACTCCTGTGAACACTGCCACGAATATGAATCCAATTTCGAAGATGTTACTAAAAATCACTATCCTCAGTGTGTCAAGTATCCAGTTACCTGCCCTAACAAATGTCGAGACGCTCCCTTTGAAAGACAGAATGTGAATAACCACGTGAAAGATGAATGTCCCCTCACGGAAGTCGACTGCCCACTCCACTACGCCGGTTGTGAGGTGAGACTTCCTCGCAAATACATGCCTGTGCACATGGCAGACACTGTCACACATCTGACACTGCTGGCTACCGTTACACAGAGCCTCCTGAAAGAGAATCAGGAGGTACGTCAGACCACTGAGGACCTCAAAACAGAGAATCAGGAACTGCGACAGACATCTGAGATCCTCAAGAAAGAGAATCAGGAACTGCGACAGACAACTGAGGTCCTCAAGAAAGAGAATCAGAAACTGCGACAGACAACTGAGGACCTCAAGAAAGAGAATCAGAAACTGCGACAGACAACTGAGGTCCTCAAGAAAGAGGATCAGGAGCTGCGACAGACAACTGAGGACCTCAAGAAAGAGAATCAGAAGCAGGAGAAAGAAATGCACCAAATGAAGCTCATTGTGGGAGGATTCCCTATTGATTTCCGCGTGAAGTATGACAAAGACAAGGAAATAATTAATTCACCTTCCTTTTACACCCACTCATCTGGTTACCAAATGCGCATTAGTTTTTATCCGAATGGATGTGGAAAGGGTAAAGGAACTCATGTATCATTAGTCACACAGCTAATGCGAGGTCCATACGACGACCTCCTGAAATGGCCGTTCAGAGGAGAGATAACGGTCCAGATAGTCAACCAGGCTGGAGAACACAGCCACGTCGAGAGGACCATCGCCTACACTGATAAGACACCAGATACCAGTGCCAGTAGAGTGACAAACACAGACAAATCAGGGTGGGGGAGACAACAATTTATGGCTTTCACTGATCTGGAGTACGATACCACAAAGAAAACCCAATACTTGAAAGACGGCATCATCAGTAGTCAGAGTTGTTAAAGTTATAATCACCCAATGAGTTGTTTAATTTTAGGCTTTTCTCTGCATAGATGACTATAATTGCACATACTATATAATATACCGCCAATATTGTGGTTGGCTTATGGATCAATGGGTGCACTGCGATAGCAAAAGCGCTATTATTATTGTTCAACTTCCATTAATTCTTACAAAAATACCACACACTCAGTTAAAACTCTTTGCTGTAATAAAGCACAGGGAAGTAAGAGTCACATGACATGATGTAATGGTCACATGACTAGAGGTCACTGCTGCTCGTCATCCTCATCGTCTAGAAATGCCCTTGGAGAAGGGTTCCACTGTACACTCAGAGACACTTCTTGATTTCAAGTTTTGTTTTCAGCTCAAACATTAGTTCAATAATTATGCTTCCCCTCACTTTACTCTCATCTTCCCCTCTCCCTCCTTCTTCCCTAATACCATCTCCGTCATCTCAGATTGGTCGTACAGTTCAGGGTTCGTTAGTGGAGAAATGATATCCACCCACCTCCCTCCTCCTGGACCCACCTCTCAGATCCTCATGTGTGGACCTCCACCCATGATCAAGTTTGCCTGTCCCCAACCTAGAGAAACTGGGCTTTAGTGAAGACATGTATGTCCCCTTCTAAAAGAATGGGCTCTTTTCCGCATGTATCTACATTTTGGACACCGTCACTTCTACCTGTGCAGCTCCCGTAGTGTATCTAGCTCGCGCAGAAGCGCACTTGTTGCGTTTGCGCATGCGTCGAGGACTGGGAGCAATGCGGCGCGGGAGGATCTCCCCTGGGAGCCTGGGTGGTATACGAGAGCATAGCTTCCTTATAGTGCCGCGCCCTGGGCTCCCGACGAACTCTGATGGCTGCTATAGCCGAAGGCGTGAAGGGCCAAAACCGCGGCGGATACGACTGCGAGTTCGTTACGCTACCGCCCGATGTGATTCAGATCGAGTGTCCAATTTGCCTGCAAATCCCGAAGCAGCCGTGCCTCATCAGTTGTCCCTGCGGAAAGGAGTTTTGCCGCGAATGCATCGAGCGAATAAAGGAAGACGGCAAGCCGTGTCCCCTGTGTAACCTGTCTGATTTCACGTTCTTACGTCACCACGGATCAGAAAGATATCTAAGGGCACAAGAGGTGTGGTGCTCACACAAGAAGGACGGCTGTAAATGGAGGGGGAAACTTGGAGAATACGAACAGCACCTGAATGGAAATCCGTCTCCAGAGAACCAGCTGACTGGGTGTCAGTTTGTGGAGATAGAGTGTGAGCATGGGTGTGGGGAGTGGTTCCAGCGTCGCCACATCGCTTCCCACCAAAAGGGGGCGTGTCCCAAGCGACCTTACTCCTGTGAACACTGCCACGAATATGAATCCACTTTTGAAGATGTTACAAAAAATCACTATCCTCAGTGTGTCAAGTATCCTGTTACCTGCCCTAACAAATGTCGAGACGCTCCCTTTGAAAGACAAAATGTGAATAACCACGTGAAAGACGAATGTCCCCTCACGGAAATCGACTGCCCACTCCACTATGCTGGTTGTGAGGTGAGACTGCCTCGCAAAGACATGCCTGAGCACATGACAGACACTGTCACACATCTGACACTGCTGGCTACCGTTACACAGAGCCTCCTGAAAGAGAATCAGGAGCTACGTCAGACCACTGAGGACCTCAAGAAAGAGAATCAGAAGCAACAGAAGCAGAACGAAGACAAACAAGAAGCTACAGAGAAAGAAGTTGAAATTCTCAAGAGAAAGAATGAAGCTCATGGTCGGAGGATTCCCTATTGATTTCCATGTGAAGTGCGAAAGGGAAGGAAATAATTTACTTACCTTCCTTTTATACCCACTCATCTGGCTACCAAATGCGCATTTATTTTTATCCGAATGGGTATGGAAATGGTAAAGGAACTCATGTATCATTATACACACAGCTAATGCAAGGTGCATACGACGACCTCCTGAAATGGCCGTTCAGAGGAGAGATAACGGTCCAGATAGTCAACCAGGCTGGAGACCACAGCCACGTCGAGAAGACGATCACCTACAATGATAAGACACCAGATATCTCTGCTGGTAGAGTGACTGACAAGGAGAGTGCTGTGGGACAGGGGTTTCAGCAGTTCCTAGCTCTCACTGATCTGGAGTACAATGCTGCAAAGAAAACCCAATACTTGAAAGATGGCATCATCATAGTCAGAGTTGTTAAAGTTATAATCACCCAATGAGTTATTAAATTTTTGGCTTTTCTCTGCATAGATGACTATTATATACAATTGCACATACTATTTATGCTGTATTGTTTATTATAATTATTATAGCACCATTGTGGTTGGCTTATTGATCAATGGGTGCACTGCGAATAGCAAAAGTGCTATATATTATTGTTCAACTTCCATTAATTCTTACAAAAATACCACACTCAGTTAAAACTCTTTACTGCATGATGTGATAATAAAGCACAGGGAAGTAAGAGTCACATGATGGTCACATGACATGATGTAATGGTCACATGACCAGAGGTCACTGCTGCTCTTCATCCTCATCATCTCCAATCTCACTAGGAGGTCGCGACGGAGGCTCACTCAGGGGACGAGGATATCGGAACCCCTGGGAAATCAACAATGATGTCATCATTACGTCATCATTAACACAATCAAGACGACATCATCAATAATGTGTCCTGATTGGTGAGGCGTCCTTATTTCAGGAGTGTCCTTAGAGAGGAGCTCTATCCAAGGCAATTATAAAACCATTACATCATAGTCTTACAGGAGTGGAAGAGGTGGGCGTGGCACTTCCGGAGCCACGCCTCTTACTGCTGTAGTACTCTGGATGAGTGGTCTCAAGGGCTCTGCGTCTGGCTGTGCGATAGTACTGAGGAAGAGAGGGAGGGTGAGAGGGAGGAAGGGAGGAAGGAAGGGGAGAGGGGGAGAAGAGAAAATGAACAGCAAACGATAAATTTTACTATTCGAGTGTCAAATCTCAGAGCCTACAGCCTACTGCACACATTTTAGGTTGTGAGCACAATCGTAACTGGCTTTGTATTATAAACAAGCAGGTGGACTTGCTTCAGTTGGCATGTTCTGTTAGACGAGAAACAGACCTGTCCCAGAGTTTGCCAGTCGAGTAGGTCACTGAGTCTCTCAGTTCTGTTCCTCTGAATGATCCTCTGATGTCGTGTCTGGCTACAGAACTCAAACATGTACTGGAGATGAGGGAGATTGGGAAAAGGGGGAAAACCGTGCAGTCTTTCATTTCATTTTCATATATATAATAGTTGGTTAGGTGGTTGGAAGGGGGAGAATGCATTGCCTAATGTGCTACGCGTAAAGGGTTAATTAAATATTGGATTCCATACTCCAACTATAGTCAAAGTAATAGGGATGGTTGGTTTGTCTTTTTGTACTCCCACGTGCCCACAAAAAATGCAAAATCGTTAAAACCCTTATTGGCGGAATTTGACCACACCCATCCACAATCCAACATAGTTGAGGGCATTCAAGTAAGGGTGGATTCCATACTCCAACTATAGTCAAAGTAATATGGATGGTTGGTTTGTCTTCTCTTACTATTACGTTCCCACAAAAAATGCAAAACAGTTAACACCCTTATTGGCGCAATTTTACCGCACCCTGAATACAATCCAGCTACAATCCAGCTACAATCCTTCTCTCAAACAAAGCATTTCTCTTACATTTGCCAGCTGTTGGATGGACTCGTCTGCGCTCTTGAAACGTCGGTCCACGATGTATATGCCGTATGTGGCGGGATCGGCGACGTGCTGTGCAATGAAACAGCCGAACCCAGAGAGATTGGTGGTGACAGACGGTATACCCATCACGGTACACTCCGCTGTGTGTGAGAGAGAGAGAGAGAGAGAGAGAGAGAGAGAAACTGGGTTTTGTTTCATATGAAAGGGGCTTTGTAATAGTGTTCTAGAGAGGGCTCTACTAACTGAGCTACTGAGGCAGCTCGGCTGGCTGGGCTGAATCGCTCATACAGAGCAAGGCAGAGCACTCTGTGTTCTAGAGAGGGCTCTACCAGCTGAGCTACTGAGGCAGCTCAGCTGGCTGGGCTGAATCACTCATACAGAGCAAGGCAGAGCACTCTGTGTTCTAGAGAGGGCTCTACTAACTGAGCTACTGAGGCAGCTCGGCTGGCTGGGCTGAATCACTCATACAGAGCAAGGCAGAGCACTCTGTGTTCTAGAGAGGGCTCTACCAACTGAGCTACTGAGGCAGCTCAGCTGGCTGGGCTGAATCACTCATACAGAGCACCAGTCTGTGTTCTAGAGAGGGCTCTACCAACTGAGCTACTGAGGCAGCTCAGCTGGCTGGGCTGAATCACTCATACAGAGCACTCTGTGTTCTAGAGAGGGCTCCACCAACTGAGGCAAGCCACTCTGTACCAGGAGTATATCCCCACGGTTCGTAGTAAGACGGGAAGACGCCAAGATGGCAGCCGCGAACAAATTCTTCGTAGTCCATCTTGAAGAGGGGATTTGTGGCAGAGAGGAACTCTGGATGGAAGATTATCTGTAAGAGAGAAGAGAGAAGAGAGAAGAGAGAAAACAGAATGAGAAAAGATCTTTTATATTATTATTATAATGAATAAGCAATTGTGGGGCAGATAATCATAATGCACCTTAACCCTCTCCACACACCCAAATTTAACCCTCTTCACACACCCTCACTAAACACCAAAACACAACCACACTAAACATTTTAACCCCTTTCACACAACACTTTAACCCTCTTCCCACACACCGCACTTAATAACTTTAACCCTCTATGTACACACTGCGTACCTTAACCCTATCCTCCCTGCGATTGAAGAGCTGTATTCTCCTAATGTTGCACAGCACGGGGTCACAATGATCATCAATAACATTATGGGTACAGATCGGAGGCAATCCCCCTTTCTGAGCAGCAAAGATACACCTACAAAATAATAGAAACCAAAATAAAAATTCAGGACACGGAAATCGTTTATTGAGGCAGACCTCTTCAGTTGGATGATGTCTTTCCTGTCGATAAGAGATGTTGAATCGGGCAATTGCCACTGGGAATTTTAGTGACGGAAGAAAAAATTTGAAAAGTGAACTACTGCTTCTTTATTTACACATGTATGTATATAATACCTCAGAACTGTCTCAAAGATTTTCTTCCCTATTTTGTCCTGGATACTGCCAACAGTTTCCCTATGGAGAGACACATAATAATTTGATGATAGAACTCCTCTAATCCAGACACCAATATGACAGAAGAAAGTGTCCATATTAGTGAGGTGTCCTTATTTCAGGGGTTGAATTGCATGTAGACAGAACCATGTTGATGCCAATAGAAAAAATGTGGTGAGTCTCTGGACAGACTGTTTCAGGCTTGTTGCCCTCATCAGCAGAGCATACCAGCACTTGTGGTTCTGAACTAATGAGATTCATCCCCACAAGGCTTTGCCACTGGTATGTGCTGCTGACATGGAGCTTAGGCCCCTCCCCACTCCTGCTGGTCAAGGTCAGCACCGAGCCAAAACCCGAATTTCTTTCTTCTCTTTTCGTTTCTCTCCGTTTTATCAAACTCCATTACTACTACCCCCTCCTTCCCCTCCCATCTCTGACTCACTGTAACTGTTTCGTGATTGCCTGCCCCTTCAGACTCTCCACGTTGAAGCTGTTGGTCCGCGTGGGGAAGATGAGGAAGGCTACCACGGTCATCTTGCTGCCACTGGACTTGAGCAAGTGGTTGAGTCTCGCCAGAGATTCGAGGAACGAGTCGCTCCCTTGTTGGAGAACTCGTACCTGCAAAACATGACATGCATATTATAATATGTAGTAAATGTTATACAACTGTAATGTATGGGTATGATGGTTAGTACTATTACATACATACGTCAGTTCAAATGACTGTAATGTATGGCTATGATGGTTAGTACTATTACATACATACGTCAGTTCAAATGACTGTAATGTATGGGTATGATGGTTAGTACTATTACATACATACGTCAGTTCAAATGACTTGTACAACTCTAATGTATGGGTATGATGGTAGTACTATTACATACATACTGCAGTTCAATGCCTGTCATGTATGGTAGATGTATACTATTACATACAAACGTCAGTGTTCAATGACTGTATGTTATGGGTAGATGGGTTAAGTACTATTACATACATACGTCAGTTCAAATGACTGTAATGTATGGGTATGATGGTAAGTACTATTACATACATACGTCGGTTCAAATGACTATAATGTATGGGTATGATGGTAAGTACTATTACATACATACGTCAGTTCAAATGACTGTAATGTATGGGTATGATGGTAAGTACTATAGACAAGCCTTCTAGTATGTCATAACCCTTTGTTGCACAGAACCATGCATACATTGAAGGAATGCGAAGGACTAAATTTATAATGCCACATTCACTTTAAGTTGCGTGAGAAATACACCACATTATAAGCTGGCCTTCACGTAAATGCATACAGCTTGGAAGGTAATTTGTGTATGCTAAAGAAGCCATAGTGTCTGCTCGCTACAAACACCTGTTCATAAGGCCAACTTAGGCCTCAGCTCAGTTCCTAAGTGACAACATTGACAGGCACATGATCCACTCATGTTCCACACATGATCCACACATGTTCAACACATGCTCCTTGCCTTTTTCCACCTCATAAGCCCATATGGTACAAATATTATAGTGCTCACACTTGCTCCCCAAAAAAATGTGTGGCATTCGTTCTAGTTAAGACAAGTTAGCCGCACACTAGAGTTACACACAAACGAAACGTACCGTCCAGCGGTGAAAAGGTAGATGGTGTTGTCCAGGTCAAAATCATAGTGCCTGCACAGACAACAAAACATACCACTTTATTCAGATGTTTAAATGTATTACATTCAGTCGAAGCGATGAAAGAAAGCGGCAATCTCACCCGTGAAAGTGTCCCTTTACAAAGTTGTGTATCTTCTCCTTAGCCTTGGCATGGAGGTTCTGGAACTCGTGCATGGCACTGCGGCAACGGAACGGAACAGAGACCATCACTACCATATATAGAACCCAGCAGGGGAATGGGACTGAAACACGAACTTGCAAGAATTAAAAATACAAAAACGCACCACGTGCACCTAATATTGATGACGTTGAGACCGTTTGGTAGAATCACGTCCGGCCTCCTCCTTAGCAGATGCTCCGCCTCGTCGGCCGTACCGTTACCTGGGCGACGAATTCAAATGCCGTTGCCATGGATACCGATAAGACGACGTAATGGTTATGTCGTACCTGTGAGACGGTGGTGAAAACGTGAGTGCAGTGGACGGCGGCCCTCTCCATGCAGTAGCGATGGTAGATTTGTCGATCGCCAGCCTCCTGATGTAGTGGTGGAAGAGAAGGAGAGAGGGAGAAGATTTAAATCTTAATCCACTGGATATTTTATTATTTTCCTCTTTCGCTCACCTTGTCAACGTCAAACTGCAACCGGTGTGCACACATGTGGAATAGAATAGGGAAAAAATAAAAAGTGTCTTATGCCACAAATACAGTGGACCTTCTCTGAAAAATGACCCTCTGAATAAAGGACACCTCTCTATCTCTATCAGGGACACTTGGTTCTGCCCCTACTAATACATTAGTGACACCTCTGAATAAAGGACACCTCTCTATCAGGGAGACTTGGTTCTGCCCCATACTAATACATCCGTATATTATAGTATAACTCCAAATAAGGGACACTCTGAATAAAGGACACTTTCAATGTTCCCAGGTGTCTCTTATTCAGTAGTTTCAATGTACCACTAATAGCAGGATGTATGCAGTATTATATATACTCACACAAAAACTGTCATAAAATTTGCATATTATGCTACTAATAGGCAGGGTGTACCCACATTGGCAAGGTTGTTGTAGAAATCGACGCTCCCTGCGCAGAGGTACCGCCCTAGCAACGTGGCGTGGGTGGTGAAGACGGTGGAAACGGGAACCTTCATGCAGCGAAGGAGGATGAGGCCGACTCCCGACAGCCATTCGTGGAAGTGGGCCACCACCATTGGAGACGGACCCGGCAGCCGCTTCATGAACTGTACGTCAGCAAGAGAGGGGGAAAGGGGGTTACGTAATCCGTGGCTAATATCCGAGTTCACATAAAGGGAATGTGTCAGTACACCAGGGCTGAAAAGATGGAACGAAACAATAGCGCCCAGCACAAAATGCAGTTAGGTTTACATTTCGTTTTCGAAATTTTTCCAACATTCCGTTGCAAGACTTTGCATGACAGTAAATATGGCGCGCAAAAGTGTACGATACTCCATGGCAACAAATAAACAGGGAAACTGGGTAAACGTCTCCGTGGCAACCGATATACACTACGTGGTTACCTCGCTGAGGAACCAGTTGGTGAGAAAGCCGAAAACGACGGCGTCGAGAGCCTCCTTGTCTTTATCAGGGACTCCGATCTTTGCCAGTTCCCACAACTCCTTACGCCAGTCGTTGAGTCTGTGGCACATGGAGCCAAGGTCGAATAGGAGGACCTTTGGTGGGAGGAGGGAGAGGGAAGAATGGAGGGAGGGAGGGAAGAGAGGGAGGGAGAGAGGGGAGAGAGGGAGAGAGGGAGGGAAGAGAGGGAAGGAATGAAGAAGGAAGAGGGATGACATATGCGAGTATAGAGAGGGAGGAGAGAGGCGAGCATCTGAAGTACTACATGTACTTCAGCCTGCTTTCACTTTTCTCGAGGATGTTACTTACACTGGCTAGCCCATCCGAAATCAGCCATCGACCAAAGACAACCTGCGTATGTATGTACATGAATAAGAGGCACCACTTTACACTGACAATTTCTACTCTCAACTCATTCATTCCCTATTCTTGTCAAAGCAAGCTGTTTTCTCCAAGTTCTTGTCATTGTGTTATAGTCATTTCCAACTTGTCCTTCTTTTTCTTCACTCTACCACTCTCTCGGTTACTCGCTCCCTCCCTCTCTCCCTCGCTGACCTTCACTCCCGCGTGTCTCATTGAGTCAATGGTCTCCTTCAACACCGACAGCTCAGGCTCCATCTCCTCCACCTCTAGACTAACACTCGCCTCGTTGTAGATACCTACATACAACAACAACAACAACAACAAACAACAACAGACAATGATACTGATACTTGACGAATACAATTGGTGAGAGTGAAGCGAGCAGTTCAATATTTCGCGTGTTTTCACGCGTACTTAGAATCACGTAAGCATTGTGTCATACATCAATTTCTGCCTATTTAAGGAGATACCAATGGCGTCCATAGGGATAATGTAGTATATACAGAACAATGGGAAATGCACCCCACAGCAGGATATCACACCCTTATGTGGAAACATTGGTATAATACGGAGCATGTGCTAGTAATGTGTCTTGAGTGTGATCGCTTGGCTTCAATAGCATGAGAGGGCTCTAGTGGGATTACGTCATAATGATGTCATGGTGTATGCGTATCATATACCGATCATGCAGTATTGGTCGCCGAGTTCGGACGTAGTAACTCCGGCCTTGCTGCGAAGGACGGTGTAGATACCTCCAACTGTGTGAGAATTGGGGAGAGGGAGAGGAAGGAGATGGAGAGTGGGGAGAGGGAGGAGAGGGAGATGGGAGGGGAGATGGAGGTGGGGAGGGAGAGAGAGGGAGGGAGGAGAGAGAAGGGAAAGTTAGAAAAGGAGAGAAGAGAGGAGAGAAAAGAATTTTGGGGTGTAGAGACTATTATGAGAGTGAGATGAAAAACAAAATTCTAAAAAGTATTTATAGAGCGTGTGATTAGATCAGGGGATTAAAATCAGTACCAACAAAGGCACATTCATACACTATAACAAGGGAAATCATTGAGTGACGCAAGATTTTGCCAGACTAATCATTATCCTTTGAACCCTCCCATCCAGCAAATAAACAAAAATGGATACTGCTAAACGTATCCGTGTGTGCACTGTTACGTATACATACGTATTAGAGCGCTGTAAACGCCAGAGAATGCGTTAGCAATGAACCTAGCTAGCTACATACTGTACTCACCCTTGTTGGCGACCTCCCACGCGATCTCGAAGTTAGAAACGGAACGGTTCCGCTACTTCTCCGTCGTAGTCTTGTTCCGACATCGCGCCGCGAGCTTGTTTGACACACTCTCTCTCTCGTAGAAGTAATGGCTTTCCCTCCGATAGCAGTAGAAATACTTACGCTCTCTCTCCGCACGCAGTGCACGCTCTTTCCACGCTGTAGCTAACCGGACGCAAAGACGCTACTATTCAGGACGCGTAGCCACGCATACGCGTGCTGCGCACATGACAATACGCATGCGCATAATAATATGAATTATTTCATATACGCACGCGCTAGAGAAATAGCGCACCAACAAAAAATAGACCTATGCACATCAACTCGCATTTCCTAGATTTTCATGTACGTCAAAAACACGGTGACAAGTTTGTTAAAGTCTTGGTGATACTTGAGGTGTAAGTTGTGTTTCCCCTCAGGCCACACCTCATAGCGACAGTCGCCGAGTCTCTCTGCTAAAAACTCTGCATGAAACAAGGGGCAGAGTGTGTCTTTCAAACCGTGGAGAACCAAAGTCGGACATTTCACTCCCCCCACTTCTCGGCGACACAGGTCACCCTTTACGTTGGGGTCAGAGTACGCTTCAACGAACCCGTCCATCCAGTTTGACCACATTCCGGGGAAATCCCCCCCGTAGAGTGTTTCCATGGTGGCCCTCATTTTGGGGCTCCATTGGCTGACGTCTCTGGTCTTTTCCACTAGTTCAATGTCAGATTTGGTGACGCTTGCGTTGGAACCCCAGACGACTAATTTTTTAACCCGCTTGGGGAACCGTGCTGCCAGGATAATCCCGCTGACACCGCCGTCGCTCCAGCCCAAGACGGAAAATCTTTGGAACCCCAGCTTTTCCATGACCCCCGCCGCGTCTTCGGCATCGCGTTGGTAGAACCCCGGGGCCGAGAAATTTCGGGGGTGCGGGCGAGATTTTCCGTAGCCGCGGGGGTCGAACCCGACAATTGTGAAGCCGCTCCCCGCTCGGCCAAAGTGCTCCATCTGCGGGGTAAAATCGGTTCCCACGCTCCCGAGGGCCCCCGGGATGCAGAGAAGTGCGCGCGGGCCGTCCCCGCGTCGCTCGTAGTACAATTCGACACCGTCGTCCGCTCGAATTTTGCCGGTCGTGCCTCGATATTCGTCGGTCAACTCTGGTGCTCCGCACGCACCACCAGTAGAGATACATCTCCTTGGAGACTTCAAAAGGATCCGATTCGCCTCGAACCTTGCAAGGACACGCCGAAGAAAGAGCGCTGAAGCCATGTTCCGCGCGACCTCTCCCCTTTTTCTCCACTAAAGGGGCGTGGTAAAAATCTACGCATGCGCGTAGGTGTCACAGTAACGAGATGTCCGGAACGCCTTGGAATCCGGCAGCCCCGCCTAATTCACCTCATTCCAGTATGTCCTGAGTAGCAACTGTACTTGTTTTGCCTTTGCCTTGCTTCCTCGTCATTTCATACTTCTTGCATAGTTAGCTGCAATGCAATGTTTTTCCGTGCTGCTTTTTTGCAGCACTGCCTATATAGCTACATAGCTCTGTACATTCGTCTGTATAATACATAATCATAGGTAATATGTCAGTAGTTCATGATTGTAATGTTACATACAAAAGTTATACTCTACCAGGTTTTCCTTGTTTTAGCATGTCCTTTGATTTCTATATAGGTGACGCATCAGTGGAAGCTGGACATCAGGATGAGCAGAAAGACGACACTAGTATAGGCGACACGGTGTTCAGCAAGTCATGGGCTCTTTCTGTGCTTGTCAGAGCTGTTGAGGCGGTTTTTATAGGAAGCGAGGAAAGTTTGAAACCAGGAGAGAGGGAGAGGGAGGAAGGAGAGGGAGAAAGAGGTGAAGAGAAGGAAAAGGGAAGAGAGAAGGAGGTGAGGGGGAAAGAGAGGAGAAGGGAGAGGATTCATTAGACAAAGGTCTCGAGGAGGACCTCTGTCAGTTGTGGGATGCTTCAATGAACAGTGTGAGATATCATTCTTTCTGAACAAAACGTTTCACTGATTTTATGAACTGGGAAAGTATTTTTGTCGAATAATACTAAAAACCAAAGTGTGTAATTGCACGGGGCCCCATTGAATTTATCCCTTATGTATAATATACTGCCACATTCCCTTTAATATTCTTTGTGTAGGATGTTGCGCTGTATCTTCACGAGTCAAACGCAGTGGACCTATTACTGGGTATAGCCACCAGATCAAACTCCCTTAGACTTACTGTGAGTCCTATTCGTGATTCTCCTAACAATGTGTAACCACACTCACAGTCACAATGATGAATGGTATTATGTTGCAGTGGCAGATCTAGGATTTTGAAAGGGGGGTTCCGCTGTCTAGAACGTTTTCGACTGCGCTCGTGCGCGCGCACGAGGCCGGCGACGCACGCACGCAAAACGACAAAAAGGGGGATTCCGCGGAAACAGAGGAACCCCCCTGGATCTGCCACTGACACTTCACCTTCTGGTATTGTGTTCTTGCTCTCATTTTAAGCCCCTGAATACACAAAATTGATGAAACCACAAAATTCATACGAATGTGTGGTCGTTTGCATAGGACAGTATGTAGAAGAATCAATTTGTGTGGCAAAGAAACATAGCAAATAAACGAACACTATAATATACGTAATACTGTGTTTCTTCTGATAAGGAGATTTGCATTGGTCTGCTGGGGAACATGGCCTGTCAGGAACAAGTCCGCAAAGAAGCTTTTGCCAGCAGAAAGACGAGGCAAGTTTGTTACATTGTCTCTCTCTCTCACTCTTTTTCTCTCTCACTCTCCCCCTCCTTCCCAAGCTTGCTCTGCTGTGTAGAGGTGTTTACTACAAGGTTTATATAGCCGAATTTGCAGCCCTATCTCTCAAGCTCATGAGGATAGCTGTGGTCTGCTGGACACCGCACATAGTCCACCACCTCCCTTCATGGAGGAGTTCTAGGCCACTCTGACATCTGAAGCGAATCTCTTTTTTTTCTTTTTTTTTCAAATTCTAGCCACATATTAGTTTTCTTTAACCAATCTCGTGTTTAGAATTTACCGTTGAATTATTTTCAGGGATGTTGTGCTCTCATTTCTGTGTGGAAGTGATACAAGGATTTTGTATGAAGCAACAAGGTTCAGTTACATTTATGTCAATATTAGTCTCTATGCAATAAAGTTTGAAGTTAGCCTAAGATAATTCTAGCAGTCAGTCGAGCCATGCGTAATTCCGTATGCATAATAAGCATGAGAATAAACGTTTTATGGCACTGGATAATAGCATATCAGGTATATTATCATATTACCCACACCTATACACTGCAGGCTGGTGTTGACATGTGTATCGGCAAGTGACAAAGATTTCCGCCAACAGTGGATAGAGGAAGTCAGACTCAGTCACAACGTGAAGGAATCTCTTCAGTTTGTTATGAAGAGCTCCACTAATGGTCAGACTTTAGTTGGTAATTTTTACCACAAAATGTGCATAAACTAACAGTGAAAACTGTGTTACTGCTGAAACCAAATTGCTAAAAAAAGGCACATTGGTTGCCTCAAATTTTCTTTTTAGCATCTGGTTGCTACTTTGTTGAGAAGAAAAATCTCAAAAGCAAAAGTTTTCTTACCTGCTTAAGTATTATTACTTCTTATAGGATTGCGAGTTCGTTAGCCTGTCATAGCAATTCAATCAACAAGATTGGGTGTTTTGGTCCGCGGACCTTCATCAGCAATCAATATACTTCTCCTTTGCATCGCAGATGAACTCTTGTCATCGACTGGCTCATTGATGGACGTTCTCCTGGACAGTGGTGATGTCATTGTCAGTGAATGGAGCAGTCCAGATCTGGTGGATGCTTTATGTCAAGCTTTGGAACAGGCGTGAGAGGTTTATGCTAGGACTAATGGGACACCAATGGGACAGAAGAAAGTATCCATATTAGTGAGGTGTCCTTATTTCAGGGGTTGAGTTGCATGCAAGAACTGTTCTTTGGGGAAAGACAAGGTGTCCTTATTGGAGAGGTGTCCTCATTTCAAAAAGAAATGTTGTTGGGGGAAGAACTTTAGCATGCAAAAAAAAGTGATTTGTATTACGATTTTTCCCAAATTTGTCATGTACCCCGTCAGCCTCGACTTGGACAGCTGGCAGAGTAGAGTCATGTGTCTTCACACAATGACAACTCACGAAAATGGAATATCAAGTCTTGGTAAGTATAGTGTTTACCTGCAGTATAGTCATACACTACGGAGCATGCGTACAGCTGACGTGACTTTTACTAAGATATACGGAGCGCCACGCCTATAACCGGAGTAATATGCGCGTGAACAAAGATATCCGTAAATTCTCGGGTTTACGAGCCCCTCCCCCTCGCCAAACACCGCGACTTGCATGACAATGGCTGCCCAGTCCTTGGCCGCGTCTTTCCTCCGCGACTCCCCGCCTCCGTCCGTCTCCTCTCCTCCGCGCGAGCCAGGGTAGGACATCGGGACTGGATCGTACGGCAGCGTGGAGGAGGTGGCCATTCCGGAGCCGTGTGCGCCGCCAGAAGATCCACGACTTTTCCAAGACGAGGCAGATGCACGCGAAGGCATCGAGAAGGCCGCGGACGAGTTCGCACGTGAGTGTCAGCTGATGAGCACCCTCCGCAACCCGCACATCGTCCAGTTCCTTGGCGTGTGTTTCCTGCCCGGCTCGCGAATGCCGGCGCTTGTCATGGAGAAGCTTGCGACCAGTCTCCACGACATTCTGGATCCAGAACCTCCGCCGCCGACCAAGCCCTTCGTCCCCGTCTCTCTGAAACGCTCCGTCCTTCACGACGTGGCCCGTGGGCTCTCGTTCCCTGCACAGCCACTCGCCGCCCATCATCCACCGCGACTTGTCGGCCAGAAACGTTCTCCTGAACGAGGGGATGGTGGCCAAGATAGCGGACCTGGGCATGGCTCGCATCGTGCCGGGTCTGCGAGCTTCCACCATGACCAAGGCACCAGGAGCTTCCGTCTACATGCCACCAGAGGCACTGGAAGACGAATCGAGATACGACGTCACAATTGATATCTTTTCTCTCGGAGTTCTCGCAACATTCGCACTCTCCCAAACGTTTCCCAAACCTCTGGCGGCAGCGTACATGGACGACAGTGGGAGGATGGTGGGTCGAACAGAGTTGGAGCGTCGTGGCAACTACATGCGGGAGGTGACGAGGCAATTCCGTGAGGGGCATCCCCTAGTCCAAATGATCCAGCAGTGCCTGAAGAACCGGATGAGAGAGAGACCGACCATCCAGCAAGTGATGGGGTTGCTGGAGGAAGCCAGAGCCGAGGTTGAAGATGGTGAATATGACGTGAACAAACTGTCACTGGCTCAACTGCTGCAGTCCAGAAGCTTTAACATCCAACAACAACGAATCCAAATTGATCAGCAGCAACAGCAAATCCGCCAAAAAGATGGGGAAAATCACGCCCTGAAGGAGCAGAATGATGTTCTAAAGGCAGAAATTGCAGCTTTGAAGCAGTCGCAAAAGGTATGTGTTAACTATGTCTGTCTACGTCATTTAGTCTGTGTCTCCGTTTATAAATTAAGCCGTCCTAAAATGTTGTGGGGAGGGGACTATAATTATTATAGCAATAGTTTGGTGTAAATTTTATGTCTGCTACTTATATAGCTAAATGTGAAGTTTTTTTCCCTAAAAATAATTCCCCCAACTGATACTGAAAATACTGATACTGCCTCAGATGGATGTGTACTATAGTAATGTGTGGGACAAGAGCAAGCATAACTGTGTGGCTATGAAGTCAATTAACTAGGCGTGAATAATGTTGTTATTAGCTGTTGCCTAGCAACCAAAAACAATCTATTGATATGGCCACCATTGGAAAGGATGTTGGCTTACTGGGGAGTAGGCCAATGATGAAAGGGGGCCAAGAGCTAACAATCCTCTTAATTGGTGTGCGTTCGCCCATGCAACTCATGGTGCACACTCATTTTCATGCACTTCTTCCACACAAAATTGATGTTATTCATGGTAATTGGTGAGCGAAGCGAGCCTACCTAGTCGTCTGAGGATATTTCTATTCATTTGTATGTGACGGGCACTGCACATACCGTAATGTGCAACAATTCTAAATATGCAATATGCGCAAAATATTGAAACATTGTTGCTCGCCAAAAATGCGTTCCATTCCTCTACTATTATATTACTGTCTTTCATGTTTTATACTCAACTCTACTATTTACTTTTCCTAATGTGGGTGCATGAGCTGCATGGGTTTTACATGTATACACATTCCTTAAAATCCTCTGTGCTACAGGTCCAGTCATTAGCACATGGCCCCTTTCACATCCAAAACTCACAAAACCAAAAAATCAACAAACTTGGAGGAAGGGAAGGATATACACTGAATGGTTCAGGTTGCCTCCGCAGTGTCATCATGGAATGTGTACTGTGGAGTAATGCTCCATTGACTGATTTGCATGCGGTTTCATTCGGTACCCCATCAGGAAAAGTGACTGGAGTGACTGCTGCGCGCCCCAGATCTCCAGTAAAGGCTTTGCTATGGACATCCCTCAACAATGGTCGCTTCTACTAGCTACGATTGGTAGTGGTGATGATGATAGATCACAGTGTGGACAGTGGTCATAGTACGTGGTGCCATCTTACTCTGCTACTGGACCGAGCATATTCAGCCTGCGTGTGGGCTACCAGAACTATCTCATAGTAGCATGGGTCTGGGTATAGGATGTGAAGTAGAGTGTGTTGGAACAGCTCCAGTGGTAGATGGTACAGTGCACAAGCCAGTACCTGTGGGGCGGTCGCTGTATGTCGTTCCAGTAGTGTAGGTGATCGCGCTGGTACAGTGCCTCATTTGGGGGTGGAATTGGAAGGATGCGAAGGAACACATATTCTGGGCCCATCTCCCCACTCTGACATCCAGTGCTACATCAGCTCACACTACCACTGACGCATTGGCATGAGCTGGGCCCACACCTCGGTTTAGTAGAACACAAGCCCACCTATTAGCCCCCAGGGACACTTGCGATGTGTTGAGGAATGGGTTGTGTACAGGAGATCCATCGCTATGACCAAGAGATTTAGACACTGGAGGGCATGGAGGGTGGGACAAGTGCCAGTTGAAATGGCGGCTCCATGCTGTACTGACACTACATCTGGTGTAGCTGATGTTGCTGGGGATGGACTGGAGAAACAAAGACACACCTCTTTTTCCAACGATAATGGGATAGCTCAGATTGAATTAACTTGACACTCGTTGCTACCTTAAGACAGTTATTCTTTACTCTAGAATTATTACTACAGTTATATGGGCAGCAAAGCGGCAGAACGTTCGCGGTCGTAACGAGCCCAAATAAGGCGTAACACAAACGCAGCACAAGCACGAGGCAACACGATGCATCTTGAGCAAATTTCCCATTGGCTCACTTCTTTTTCGTGTCCAAGGCTGACTTTCTATTTAGTGTGCACTCTTGTCTCGTGTATATTATTATGTCACCACTTTT